AAATAAATAAATAAATAAATAAATAAATAAATAAATAAATAAATAAATAAATAAATCGTAGGAACTTAATCGTAAAAATTTAAAAGAGTTTTTCCATTTTGAACCATGGAAAGCCGAGTATCCACGAACAATCCCAGAATGCCAAGTGCAAAAGGATCCAATATATTGTTAGTAACATTATTAGTAGCATGGATATATAACCCTAACGTGTGTTAGCCAACTGTGGACCACAAACAATCCCAGAAGCCCAAGTGCAAGAGTTGCTTGTTGGTTCTCTCCTGTGCTTCAAGGGTTTTTCTACGTTTTCTTCAGATTTTCCACCCTCAACAAAAATCAACTTGTAAAGGTGCAATTCCAGAAATTATCCATACTTCCCCCACGGAGGAATTCGTTTCTAAGACCCTCCCTACCTCTGGAAATTCCAATTTTCTTCCATAAAAACTCTGTAATTTCGTTCTTTCTTTGACCCCCTACCCCTCAGAAATTCCAAATTCGTCTGTGGGTGGGGTATGGATAATTCCTGGAACTACACAACTACCTAACTCGATCTATTGGTAGCCTTATCAAGTGGATTGCAAAACCTGTTAGGCTTTCTGTCCACCATGGAGTGGGAAATCCGATTACATTTTTTAAAAATTTATGCAATGAGATTTCATCTTTGAGGTACCCACAACCAAACAATCCCATCATGCAAGCRCAGTTGAACCCAAGGTGCTACATTGGACTGATACATACATGGCCCCAACTGTATTCATTAGCTCCATCTGTATGTGGAAACCACAAACAATCCCACAATCCCTTTTGTGCTGCAACTCAAATGGCAAGACGGTTAGTTAAGCTACTTACCTGTAGGCATCATCTCTGTTCATTGCAACTTGGGAATAAAAACAACCTTTTCCTATGGCAACCACAGGTTGACTGGTCTCGCATATTTTGGTGGCTATCTTGTTTACCTCATCTCCAAGTGAATCTTCTGCCACAACTTTGCTTAGTAGTCCATGGATAAGTGCTTCTGGAAATGAGAAATAAAGTTTGGGAAACTACACCACATGGCTTGGGTGGGAGCCAGGAAAAAGACACACCCAATTTGTGCTGAGCTCCTTTGCTCCCATACCCCCAGAAAACTTTTGCTGAGAAAACATTGTGTATGGCAGTATAGCTTGAATAGAAAAATATTGTTCCTCATGCCTTATATGGTGTTGTTTGTACCCAAGCCATACCATAATGCATTCTGTTTATCAAACTCAGAGAAGGCCTATACAAGCCACCTGGTGTCAAGTTGAAGGTGGGGGAAGGGGGTCATGCTCTGCCTTAGATGAATCTAGGAAAGGACTGCACCCCAGAAAGATGCTGCAGGTACTAAGTGTGCAAGTTTTTCAATAGTGCAGTTATCGTATCACTGTGAAAAATTCACGGCACGAACGCGGCAATGACACAGCAAGGGATACACCAGACCAATCACATTGCACGAGAATTTACTCTCCCTCCAATCAAATACCTGGAACATGGCATAAACACAGTGCGGACACAGTCACGCCAAGGTCACGGCAATGCCAGACCAATCACATTGCACGTGAATAAATCAGCCAATTAAAATTCTAGAATACATCACAGTCACGGCACGTCACGCTTACGGCACTGAGCTTTTCACAGTCATACGAAAACTGCTCTAGTCAAGGTGTGGTGTAATTACAGTCAACTTGCCAGGAAGCCAACTTGCCCATAATCCAGGTCAACTTGCCCACAATCCACGTCAACTAGCCTGATGTAATTTCTTATAATTTCAAATTCATAGTAAAAGAACCTTACTCATGTATTGTGTCATATCTTTTTTCCCCAAAAAAAGTCTTTGAAATATAATCTCCTATCATACAGTATTGACTTAATTCACATAACTAAGATAATTGATTGGGAAAATAACCTGGATTGGGCAAGTTGACCAATTAATGGCAAGTTGAACAATGGATTACCAGTGAGTTTGTAATATGGGGAGTTGACCAGATATCCAGAGAGTACATACTACAACAAAGTTTCTCATATGACTTCAATTCTAACCTTGAGATGAGATAGGATGGCCTGTTAACAACATCTCCATGGCAACCTTACGAGGCACTGCTCTGGATAATGCAACACCAGGAGTGGAGCAGAATAGGCCAATATTTACTCTTAAAACAAACAGATTTGATGGTTTTCAGTAATAAAACAAATAGACATCAGTTTGTTATGTGTCTGTCCTCTTATTGCATCATCACATTGTCATAGTAGTTGTGATCAAAATAACCAACAGAAAGAGCTCTCACTCGTTGACTGTCTGTCCTCTCATTGATGATAAAAAATAACCAATCAGTGCACGGGAAATTTATAAGTTATTGTAAAATTGAAAATATACATGCCTGGATCTCTCAAAGACAATTATTTTCCTAAGAAGTTTGAGATGATAGCTTACAAATGCTTCCAACTTCTATGGACTTTTACTGGAAYGTGTGAATATTCTATACTAAATATTCTACACAGAAAACTCGAAATTTTTAGTATTTTGATATATCTTCTGGATAAGAAAATACATACCCTGGAGTTGCAAACTGACTCTTCTCGGAAGCCACTGCAATATCACAGCTGGCAACCAGTTGGCACCCAGCAGCTGTTGCAAGACCTTGAGTAAGTGAAGAAAGAAGTCACACAAATACATGATTCTAGGCAAGAAATGATCCCTTGCAACTATGAAGTAGCATGATACATACTGCCATGTGGCAAAAATTTGTCACAATTGAAATTGCAAAATTGATTGAGATATTAGGGAGGGGTGGTGGTGGTGGTGGGGGAATGAACTCTCACAGTCCCTGATTCAGACCCTCTAGGTAAGGTAGTAAGTGACGTAGTGATTTTGTTAAAATT